GTCGATGTGGGAACTGAGGTCCAGACAGGAGTGCGACCTCGTCCTGGGCTCCATGATGGACAGGGACCACATGCATGCAAGAGCGTGCCCCTCACCACCCTAAGAATGGCCCTAAGCCAGGAGCCCAGGCACTGGCACGCAGAAGCTGCCAGACCACCAAACCAGTTGCCCTCTCCCCACACTCTCTGCACCCTTATCTCCATGCCCTGCCAGGCACTTCCCTACCCCAATTCACAAAGAGCAGGGTGAGTGACAGGAGGGACCAGGAGGGGCCTTTTTTTGGGGGTCATCACATTGCAGAAGTGAGAAGAGTCCCCAGCCTGTCACAAGCTGGTGGTAGACCTGGGGGTGGAGGGGGAAACCAGGTGTCCCAAGTCCCACTTGGTGCAACCTGCTTCCTGCCCAATGGTCCTGTGCTCTTCCCCAGCCCTCCTCTTAGGACTACAACCCCTTTCTAAGAACCCCATACTCACTCCATAATGAAGACATCCTCCAGCGACTCCTGGGGCCTTTCCTTGCTCTGGGTCTGGCTCAGATCAGGTGGCGCAGATGGCAGCCTGTGCCCACTCTCCACCCCTCACCCTTCTGACCCACCCTCACAGCCCCCCAGCTCCCAGCTCTATCTCCACACTCAGCCTGCTCTCCCACAGTGTGAGCCAGGCCCAGGGAATGTGGAGCCCTGTCCTCCCAGACCCCCACCCTGCCTCCTACACAGATGCACTAGCTGTGGCCCAGCAAAGTCCTGACTCTGTAGGCTCAGGGCTCGTATCTACTACTTTCCCAATGGCCTGGAGCAGGCCCTGACTAGAATCCACCCCTTATTCACCTGGTACAGAGCACAAGACCCCTTATATCTGCCCCATCCTCCATTTAAAGGACAACCCAAACCAACTCAGGTCAAACCAAGGGTGGGAGAAGTGCAGCCCAGCAAGAATAGGGCCAAAGAGCTGGCCACTGTGTGTCACCAGAGCATGGCCACCCACAGCCGAGGACCCCACTCTGCGAGGTTGTGGATGGAGGGGTGAGAACGCTTCTGTATCTCTCCCCTTCCAGAGAAACGTGTTTTCCTGCTTCCACCCATCAAAGCCACCACCCCCCCACCCCGCCCCAAAGAGGTTTTAGAAACTTCCCTTAAGTCAAAGTGGAAACAATTCCCTCCCCAGAGAGCTAACCAGGGACAGGAAGAACAAGTGCTAAGTCTAGGGAGGCAGAGGCCTTGGGCTGGTCCCACTGGGAGCCACCAGCAGGTTAGGAAGTTGGGCTACAAATGGACTCCTCTATGGTCCACCTCAGTCTGCTCCTGAGGCAGCAGGCGTAACAGGCAGGAGGGATGTTTGAGGCAGGGCAGCCCCCACACCTAAGGGGTAGCAGCTGAGGGAGCCTGTGCTGTCCCTTTGCCCAGGGGTGCTGGGTGGCATCACCCCTCCTGCCGATCACAGCAGAACCACAGCGAAACACACAAGCTCACTCCAGGCCCCACAGCTGGTGAGTGGGGAGAAGCTGGAAACACACCCAGTCCTAGCTCAGTCCTTCCCACGCCCAGCCCTGTAACCCAAGGGCTTGGGTGCTGCACTCTGGAAGCTGGGCCGCAATGGACACTCATGGCTATCAGCACCGTTTAGCGGACTCTTGAGCACTCACAGGACATACCTCAATTCAGACCGTGGGCTCTGGGGCTCCCCAGGTGTGTGTTCAGTTACTGGACAGATGCTGACCCTGGGGAGGGGGGTCTCAGGCCCAGGAAGGGCCTCCTAGGTCACTGAGTGTCCTGCAGGAGGCAGCCCCACGGGACCCTCTGCATGTGACATGTTACATGTGCAATGTGATAGGACCCGGTGTTGTTCTGGGCTGCACTCTGTGGATTCATCATCATTCCACACAAGATACACAGGAAAAATAAGGCTTGACTGGTTTGGTTGCCTCTGAGTGGTATAATTATCGATTTTTTGTTTCTCTATAATTTTATATATTCTGAAAATTATCTTCAAGAAGATGCATTGCTAAAAAAAACAATAACAAAATCTCCAAGCCAAGGCACCCTGCCCCCCACTCTGTTCCCCAGAACAGCACATGTCTGGGCTACAGCTTGGGAATGCCAGGGCTTCTGTTCTTGTAGGGCAACTTAGACTGTGCTTCTGGGGTCTTGGTATCTGTTACACAATCTCAGTGGTCCCAGGGCCACCCTTGTCTCAGGCCCGGGCACTTGGTCATGCCTGGTGGCTCTGCACAGCAGCCCAGGGTGGGACCTATCACACACCCCCTCCGTCCCTCAGGTCCTTTCCCCACAATGTTTCCTGGCCTATGAGCTGAAGGGGAGGGGGAGATAAAGGGGACAGAGCCTGGGCTCCGGTGCCCTCCTCTTGCCAAAAGCCAGTCCCAGGAGGCTTCAAGGGTTCTGTTCACACATATCAGAGGGGCAGCTGGAAATGTCGAGCTAGAAAAGCCCAAGCCTGATGTCTTTCAGCAATTTTAATACATTCGAGAATATTTCATAGAACAAAATAAAAAAGTATTGTCAATCAGCAGAAGCCCATGGTTGAGGGATACAGAAATGTAACTGGCCCTTTTGCAGTAAAGCTTGTGCTTGAAGGGAGAAGAGGCAAAATGACTTCCTGGAGGCTTCAGGTCAAGTGCCACTGGACTAAAAGCACCTCACAGTAGCACTTTTAGGTATGTATGACCATCTAGAATTATCCTATAAAGCCAACATCATAAAAAGAATCCTATTAGAAAAAGCAAAAATCACGCTTCTAGAATCTTCTCACCTGTGGACCCACATGCAAATGTGGGCAGCCCGGCCAGACACCCCTGCACAGCTTCTTGTCAGAGAGACAGAACTGGGCCTTTAAGCAGGTGGGACTGGTCCCGGCACTCCCCGTGGCCACCCTCTGCCCTGTCACTGACCCCACTGGCAGCTTTGTGAGCACAGCCCCATGCCTACCAGCATGAGTTGCCAGGGCTGGCTCGCTTGGCTAGGAAGGGACAGATGTGTGAACTGCAGATCCAGGGAAATCTTTTCCTTCACAGAACAAAAAAGCACCCCCAACACAATAAATAAACAAAAACATGGCCGCAAATCGGACATACTGGGTCCAGACAGGAGCACAGGCTTCCACGAGGGCGAATGAGAGCCAAAGTGGAACTCAGAAAGACCAAGTGGAAAGACACTGAAAAACAATTCGTTCTCACCTAACAGTCCCTCCTGTGACAGCACAGGGCAACTGTCAACAGAGCAACAGAAATCAGAATAGAACCTCGTCAGGAAGGTTGAGACAGGTACCATCTCCCAGGGTCTTCCAGCGTGCCCTGGGGCTGGACTCTGCTGACCTCTCCTTCCTTAGCTGAAAATAGGCATTTCACAAAGAGCCTCCAGTTGGGGCAGCAGGTTAGGACCTCTGGGCAGGGCTGATGGGCACTTACCAGCCACGTGACTGTGGGCCAGCAGGCCACATGCACACAACACACAGCCCATTTCACAATAACCACATTCTTCTCTAGGCTACAGACATGTCAAGTCCTAGTCAGGAACACCACACTTGAACGCAGAACCCTCGGCCCATGTGTTGGCCGGGCACCTTCTTCGCATCCTGTGGTTGGGGCAGTGATCCTACTTCCACTGGTGGCAACTCTTCCTCATGCTGCTTTGCAGGTGCCAAACACAGCTGTGTTCTAGAAGCAACAGGTCTTGACACTGTTTAAACCAACAGCTACTGTGTTAGGCACACATGAGATGCAGGCTCCCTGTTCCCAAGAAGGGCTGAGTCCCAGTCTGAGAGTCATCTCACCAGGACACCTCATGATAAGGCTTTGGTTCCGCTGCACAGAAGAGGTGCTGGTGCGGCTGCCTGTCACTCGGAACCTGGAAGGTGGTGTGGCAGGGGACCAACTCCATCGCTGCATGTCACGAGCCCTGAAGACATCTGCTGTAGCTGTGGATGCAGTGGCCTCCAAGACCCTCCTTGCAAGGAGAGTTAAGGCACTTCCTTAAATTCTTGCCTAGGAGGATTTCGTCTGAGTGACTCAGAGTGACTTTAAATTACACTGTCTGGGCTCCCTCCAGCTGTTTAGCTTTTTCTCCTGCTACGTCCGACTTCATTTCTGGCTTTCACCAGGCTAATGTCCAGATTTTGTGTTTTAGCTCTACGTTCACTAAACAAATTTAACTTTGGTACTAATAGAACAGGAGCTTTTCCCCCCAATATTGCTCATAAGAAAAAAAAAATTTTTTAACCAGAACTCCTTTTGACCAATTCTTTTGTCCAGAAACCTAATGCCAGAGCTGGGTTTCCAAGCCCCTTCAAGGCTGAAGGACAGGTCGGCAGAGGCGTGACAAGGGGGACCCAGCAGCAAAACCAACCATTCAGCAGCAGCAGACCCTTTGAGCCAGGAACTTGAGTCGCAATCATTTGTTAGCTCAAGTTGCAAACACTTAAATCACACGGGCCAGGACAGCCCTGTCACCCGGAAGCGGTGGCCATCCCACTGCCATGGGATGCACTCCTTGAAACTGAGCCCCCGTCCAGGGCCGTGGCCTGTTCACCCAGCCATCTCTGCCAGGTGCCAACTTCCCTGCCCGGTTCTCCCAGGTGACAGAACCTGCGCTGGCAAGGAGTCCAGAAGAGCTGCAGCTAAAGCTTTCACTAACCCCCTGTGAGCTGCCCACATCATTTCACCCCCTTCCCCAAGTTTAGCTGTGTGTGAGTCGTTTTTTACACCCCGCAGCACTAATGTAGTTCAATATTCTCTTCAGAAAAAAAACTCCGCAGCAAACAGCGTGTGTGATGTGCATTGAGCCCACGCCGACCTCTGACCCGACAGGTCATGTGCAAGGAGCCCAGTGTGAGCTGTGGGCCACAGACACCTGAGTTCTCCCAACTCAGAGGCCCCGGCTGAAGGCTCACACGCTGCGGGGCAGCCCAGAGAGTCGCTGAAAGCTTTACGGGGTGCATAGCTAATGGCGTTGGTGTCACTTGGTAATGGGGAGAGTCCTTCTGGTGTGCTCAGGTTTCAAAGTACTTGTAGATTGCTGTCACGTAAAGCATCACGCTTTGCCAATCAGGCCGCTCGGTCCGGACCATTTCATTAATGTCCTGGCGGAGAAGGAAGAGACCTGCTTAGAATCCCAGGTCACCTCTGGGCCCATCCCAACAGGCTCCCCCCACAGCTGGGGTAGGGGGCTTCAACTCTGGGCTAAGCTTGATCATACCCACCAAAGGCCTGGTCAAGATGTCTGCTCCATCGCTACCAAGTGTGCCTGTGAAGTGTCAGCATGTTCCCTGAGCTGCCTGTCTGTGCCCGAGCCCTACCCCAGAGTCCCACACCGGGGTGCCCTTGCTCCCGGCCACAGCCCTCCAAGGCTGGCTTTTGTCTTCTTTGGGGCCTTGCTCTCTGCCTACCTCTCTTAAACCCCTCCACATGGTGGCTTCTGAGAGCCCTTCTCACCCTAGTCTCTGTCCTGAGAGAGTCTTTGTGGGCCCAGGGCCCCCAGAACTCAACTTTCCAATGTCCTTCACCATGGCAACCATCTGAAATCATCAAAGACACTGTTCTCTAACTGTATCCTGCAGAATATCAGTGATCTGTGAGATGCCAGATGATGAAACCCAAGACTTGGATATATGACTAGAAGACCCCAAAAGAGTTTCACTGTTGCTGAAGAACATCCATGACTTTTCAGGGGAGCCATGCTCAAGAGAATCCATGGAACCATGGGTGAGGGACACAGAACATGTTGCCACAGCCAGCACAATGGAACGGGCCACCCAATGGTGGTATAGAAAAAAGAAAATACGTTTGTTTAATGTAAGATCTTGACTAAAAGCTCTTTAGGGTGGGGAAACGGACAGCTTTTTATATGTTAGTACTTTACATGTGATATAAAATACCCAGCTAACGGGAAACATTTCAATAATGGTAATTTCTCTTTCTCTCTGTACAGCTGAATAGAGGACATACTTCTGTCAATTCAGAAGATACAACTTCTGGGACTTTACACAAACACTCCTGTGGGGTAAATATGAATGTAAACACTTCTTCAAAACCATCCAACTGTTACAAATGAGGGTAAGGGGTGCCCTTGAGTCCCTGACCCAGTCCCACAGGGCTCTTTACTCTGTGGAAATCTCAAGCTGGGCGCCCTGGACAAACACCTCAGTAGAGTTTATATATATAATGAAAGTGTCTCTAGGTGTGGAAGGACTGGCTTTGCATCTGGACGCAGTATTTTCTTCAGAAAGTCAGACATGGTGACAAGGTGAGAGCTCTAACAGAAGCATGTGTGGTTTGAGCTACTGCGGGCACTGAGCAGAGGCCTAATGACCCTGAAATGTGGGTTCTCTACAACTAATTTCTCACACTGTGAGTGGCATTTGCCACATCACTTGTGAAGCATGGCATACCTGCTCCACCTCTAAAGTCTCCTTCCTCAAATTGCACTCGCCTCCTCTCCCCCTAGCATGACAAAAGGCAGACAAACCCACAGGAATGCATCTCTGACAATGACATGTTATTGTCATGAGATTCACCTGAAAAAGGTGACTCTAAGGAAGTCAAAGTCGCTGGGGCTGTGGTCAAGATGACTCCACCCACCTCAGGTGCTTCCTCAGGACGCACAGAGCGCCCACAGGACTGAGGTGAAACCCCTGCCGGGGCCCCTCTGGCAGGATGCTCACTCAGCCGGCCAGGGCCTGTGTGGACTCCTGTCTCGCCCAGTAGCCACCCAGGAACTCTCTTAATGAGAAGGAAGCTCTTCCCAACAAAAGAAGGGGCCTGCCAGTGACTCACCAGTGTGGATTTGATGCCGACGCTCTCAGCTGCCTGAAAGGCCAGGGTGAAGTTCCTTCGCTGTAAAAGAAACTGTGTGACTGGAGTGGACAAGCGAGGCCAGGAGGAAGGCAACCTGCACTACCCGTGCTGCCGGGGAAGATGGACAGCCACCTCCACTTGGTGCCAGAACAAACCTACACTGGAGCTCCTGAAGCCCCCACCTACCCCGACCACCCCTCCGCAGGGCCCACCCACTCCTCTGGTGACCAGCTGTAGAGCAATCTCCACAAGCCCCTTCTTTCCTCGCTGTGGAAAAGGGATGCTTCTGACACATCAGCCCTGAGCTGCCTGGACCTGGACCCCAAAAGCTGATCAGAGACACCTGTCAAATGAGCTTCCTCCCCAGGGGAAAATCTTCAAGGGTTATCTGAGGGCAGGAGGGGACCAGAGGAAGGCTCGGGCCTGGGACCTCTCCTAGTGCCCATCTGGACGAGGGTTCTACCCAACCTGTCTCCAAGCACCTCCCTGAGTGGGACACCCGGACTGCACAGGGCTGGTGGGAGGCTGGCCTGGTGTGGTGAGAGCCCTGCCCAGACTGCTCATGCCTTGAGCAGTTCTCCGTGGCCAGTTCTTGGTAAAACCCTCAATTCTAAATATCATCACCCAGGAAGGCTGACAGCTCCCACAGGGAATGTTGTCACTTGGGGAATTCTGAACCCACCAAATGTCCTACAAAGGTTGGTCAGGGACTGGCTGGCTCAGCACAAATAACTCAATCCCAGAACAAAACTGAGCTGGGATGAGGCCACTGTGAGCCAGCAATGTGACTTGGGTCCTGCCAATGGAAGGCTCTGCCTCTCCTATGCGGTAAGGACTCCAGGAGCTGGCCATTCCACAGCCGGCCTACCTTATCTTGGTTGTTCAGCTCTTGATATGGAATGTGGGCCGGAAGGTACGTATGCAGGAGAGCACAGAAGGCCAGCCCGTCATTCCAACTGCTGCTGAAGTTTGTAATGTCAATATTCTGAAGGAAAAGAAGAAAAACAGGTAAGTAACGCACGTTGTGATCTTCTGAGGAGGACGGTGAGGAGGAGGAAGGAGGCCTCAGATGCCACGTGGCCTCCAAATGCCAGGCAGGGGGAGCTTCTGGAGAAAGCACAGAGTGCTAGGGGCCATGTCCCAAGACCATGTCCAAGACCATGTCCCAAGACCAGCAGGTGTCAGTGACTGGCCTTGTAGCAATTCCCCACTCCATCCTATCCACCACCTACAGATTGCTGCCACCTTGGTGGCAAACGTTTGAGCCACCTCCTCTTCACGTGAAGAACAGTGGGCACAGGGCGCTGTTCTGGCAGTTCTGCAGCATCGTGGGGCCCTGGGGAACAGAGTTCTACGCTGAGAAGTTATGATTCAGCCTGACCTCCCCTATTAGGGCTCAGGCACAGATTTATAGTACATAAAAACCCCTGTGTTCTGAAGACATCAACAGCTGCCATCTTGCATTAGGAGACATTGGGAGCTGATTCACGCTGGGGCTGTGTGCATCCCCACAGCGCTTCTCCCAGATCACCTCGACTTTCTCATTCCATATTTATAGTATAATTATTTGCAACCATAAAAGTAACATATTCAGAATAGCTGACTATATGGTAACACAATTTGGCTAATGTGTAGCCTTTACCTTTACTTGCGAAAATTCCTTTTTTTTTTTTGAGAGAGAGAGAGAGAGAGAAGAGCATGCTCACTCGAGTGGGGGAGGGGCAGAGGGGCAAGGGGAGGGGCAGAGGGACAAGGAGAGGGGGAGAGGGAGAGAGGGAAGGAGCGGGAGGGAGAGGGAGAGAGAGAGGGAAGGAGGGAGGGAGCGGAGGAGAGAGAGAGAGAAAAAAAGAGAGAGAGAGAATATGAATCTTAAGCAGGCTCCACACTCAGCCCAGAGCCTGACTTGGGACTTAGCCGTGAGATCATGACCTGAGCTAAATCAAGAGTCTGACCCTTAACCTTCTGAGCTACCCAGGCACCCCATAAGAATCCTTTTAAAAAAATTTTTTTTTTTGTTTATTTATTTTTGAGAGAGACAGAGACAGAATACCAGTGGGTTAGGGGCAGAGAGGATGACACAGAATCCAAAGCAGGCTCCAGGCTCTGAGCTGTCAGCACAGAGCCCGATGCGGGGCTCGAACCCACGAGCTGTGAGATCATGACCTGAGCCGAACTTGGACGCTCACCCGACTGAGCCACTCAGGCGCCCCAAGAATCCTTTTGAAAGTAAAACTCCACAATTAAATTTTGGAAATTCACACACTTTATATAAATGCCACAAACTGAAAAAGAGAGCACTTCCCAAACACCTCTTATTTAAGGTCACACTGTTCTTTCATGCAGACTTCAACTGCATCAAGGGTTAGTTCTTGGGGGGGCTGGGAAAGCCCACATTTTATTATTGAAGGCAAACCACCCGTTCCTGGGTACAGGTTCCTACTCCTTCCTGGGACAAGTGATCACACAACAATATGAATACCATGTATACACGTACAGAGTTTTACAAACTTTGCCATCCCTGACCCTGGTTTACAGACTGTTAGGTTCTCACACCAAGTAGGGGAATGGATGAGGGGCAGGTGGGGAGGACAGGACCAGGCCTGGCAACTGGCCCTTCAGGGAAGACAGTCTTAGTCCAGACTCAGCAGCTCTCAGGCAGTTTCCTTACAAAAGCAGCAAGCAATGTGGAAGAGCACGAAGCTGAACTTTTCATAAGCTTTCATCATCCAAGTGAATTCTGGCCCTCGAATGCAGACACCCAGAATGCTGCCCTCTGGGGGCGGGGGGGGGGGCCTTCTACTCAAACACAAGCCGTCAAGAAGGCAGCAGCTCTGTGGGCAATTATTCCAGAGGTCATTTCCCCTCTGTAACCTGATTATTTGGGGCAGCCAGTCACGCTGATCTGGCCTGAAATCATTGTTCATAAACTGTGGTGAAAGAAATTACCAGATTAAAGCACAAAAGGATACAAACCTGCCAAGAGTCACAGGGAAGGTCGCAGTAAGCTTTCAGGGCCATCTGACTTGGCCTCAAAGAGTGCACCCGCCAACCCTCCCCCAGTGACTGGGGCCTGGCAGGTCTTCCCTGCCTCGGTGCTGCAGTCCCCACGCTTCCTGGCCACGAAGACACAGTCCAAATAAGCATGCCTGTCCGGTTCCCGACAGCCCCTCCCCGACCCCCTCCAGGGGACAATACCAGTCACCACCTCCTTTAAGGGCGCCGTGCAACCAGTGGTGTCTGACAGTTACTGCTGAGCCGCCACAGCAAACGTGCCGCTTTCATCTCACATGAATCTCAGGAAGCAGCCAGCCAAGGGGCGCCAGCACCATCTGGGAGGAAACTGGAAGTAGGGAAGGGAAATGACCTGTCCAAGGTGCTGGGCTGGTAGCAGGGAGGATTGAGTGTCAGTTTAATTCTATCACCCGGGAGCAGTTTTAGATAAGGAGGCTGGGGCACAAGGAGGCCCAGGTCCCAGAGCTGATCTATGTGGTTATTCAAACTCAGGCCTGTCCAAAGCCCATCCACACTCCAGAAATCAGACTAGATCTCATGACAAGTGCCCTGATCAAAGACCCGAGGGCACGGAGTATCACTGTGTGGACAGCAGGGCGAGAAGCTTCTTAATGACTGTCCAAGGCCTGTGGGAGGCCAACAGCAACATGTGGCTGCTAAGGACTCCCAACCCTTGCCCCCAGAGGTCACATTCATTTCTGGAGGAAAACAAATCTCTACTTCCTGCCGCCACAGCCCCCTCTTCCAGTCCTGAAAGTCAGGCGTCTGGCAGAGCTGCCTACGTGCCTGGCTTCCCAGCACCTCCAGAGGAAACTGCTGCGCTCCAGCTCCCCAGCTGTGGGAACCCCAGCCTTCCCCAGCTTCCTCAACACAAACCCAACCTCAAACCTGGAACCTCCAGGCAGAGCAGCGACTTCATTTACAAAACATGCCAAAGATATTTAAACAATGAGGAAACAATGGCTTCTTGAGTTTCAGGGCAGGGGGAGTTAACTTTGAAGTACCTGACTACCAAACTTCCAAATCAAAACAAAGTCCAAACCCAGGCAGGCTGGCAGGTGTCACTGTCCCCGCCAGCTGAAGGCGAGCCAGGCTGGGCGCTGTACCCAGCAGGGACACTGAGGCCAACATGCAGGAAACCCACATGAGACCTTCAAATGCCCTGTCCCCATCCTTCTATCTCCTACCCCCTCCAGAGAGACCCTGGGGGAAAATGAGGCCAGTGCTTCAAAGGAAATGGAGAAAAGCCTAAAATCTGAGAAGGCAAGCCTCAGGCAAGGCTGCCATCACCCCATGCCACCATGGCTGTGCTGGGCCTGCACCCTCTGCTCCCAATCTCACTGCTTATTCATTTAAAAACAAAATTTTTTTTAACGTTTATTTATTTTTGAGAGAGAGAGACAGAGAGCATGAGCAGGGGAGGGGCAGAGAGAGAGGGAGACACACCATCCAAAGCAGGTTCCATGCTCCAGAGTTGTCAGCACAGAGCCTGACGCAGGGCTCAAACTCACAAACTGAGATCATGAGCTGAGCTGAAGTCAGATGCTTAACTGAGCCAGGCGCCCTTCTGCTTGTTCGTTTTTGATGTTCACGGCTGGGATATCAATCTACTGTGAAATAATGCAGATTGAACATGGAAAAGTCTATAAACAATGAAGCTGGTTCTCTGAGGCTGAAAAGGGTGCTAGAAAATCCAGATGGGAAGACAGGAAAGTTCTGCTGGCTTCCTCTCTGGAGCTCTTAATTTTGAGGCTATTAATTTAGGCTTAAGAAGCCACCTCGTCACAAAGTTATCTGTAATAGCCTTAGGACTTTCACAGATATACTTTTTGGCATGTTTATTTCACAAAGGATGTCTAGGAATGGACCTTCTATTTTCAAAAAGTGGCATTTTCAGTGCATAAGGGAAGTCCTTGACTGTAAAACCTAAGTGCACTTCTCCCTGGACAGAAGGGCCATTTACACCTTACAGATTACCACAGGGGCTGTGGTAGGATCAAGGGCCTTCCCCCCTGGATGTGCCCTGACTCCTACATGGATGGCTTCTTCAGCAGGCCAGCCAATACCTATAAAATGAACTATTCTTAAAGCCCAAAGCACGATGTTTTCAGGGAATACACACACCAGTGCTTTTCTTACTGTTCACTATTCACAGGTACCAACACTAATAAGCTCTCTAAGAAGGAAACAGTTTTCTTTTTCTTTTTAAAAAATTTTTAATTTTTTATTTTAGAGACAGAGGGAGCACAAGTGGAGGAGAGAGGCAGAAGGAGAGAGAGAGAATGTTAAGCAGGGACTTGATCCCACGATCCTGGGATCAAGACCTGAGCCAAAATCAAGAGCTGGACTCTCAACTGACTGAGCCACCCAGGTGCCCCCAATTTTGTTTTTAAAACAGAGACACAGAAGTAGTAATTACAAAAATAGAGACATACAGTAGTAATTATAATGCAAGTTTCTTTAACAAAATTTTTTTTAATGTTTATTCATTTTTAATTCATTTTTTAAAATGTTTATTATTTATTTTTGAGAGTGAGACAACACGAGCAGGGGAGTGGCAGAGAAAGAGGGAGACACAGACTCTGAAGCAGGTTCCAGGCTCAGCACAGAGCCTGACACAGGCTCAAACCCACGAACCGTGATACCATGACCTGAGCCAAGTCAGACGCTTAACCGACTGACCACCCAGGCACCCCCTATGTTTATTCATTTTTGAGAGACAAAGAGAGAGAGCACAAGCAGAAAAAGGGAGAGAGAGGGAGACACAGAATCTGAAGCAGGCTCCAGGCTCTGAGCGGTCAGCACAGAGCCTGATGCAGGACCCCAACCCACGAACTGTGAGATCATGACCTGAGCCGAAAGAAGTCAGACACTCAACCAACTGAGCCACTCAGATGCCCCTATAATGCAAGTTTCTACTTAATGAATTCAGATTTTGCATTCAGTTTCCAGGTCAATTCAGGACTTTTCTAC